ACTACACACACACACACACACACACACACACACACACACACACACACACACACACACACACACACACACACACACACACACGTACATTATATATATATATATTTGTACATTTATTTTCAAAGAACTAAAGAAAAAATACAATAAACAGACTCTTCTCAACACGAGATTTCGATCGATTCGCCAACTTTTGTGTATGCCTGCCCATGATTCATCACACCTGTGACAACATATCCATTTACTAACTTGATTCAGTTAGAAATTTACATGATGTATTTTTGAATATACTTGCGTAACCACAGAGAGGGATGATCAGTTCTAACTGGAATTCGGAGATTTCACATTATACTGGTCGAAGATATTTCATAAGTTGAGTTCGTTTCTTCGCTCGTTGCTTGTGGTCGGCCATAAGCTGATTTTCAAACGACCATTAAATTGTTTTGAAATTAATTGAAATTATTTAAGGAATGATTCTGTAACGGCGAAACGTCCGTCTGTTCTGCTGAATGGGCATTCTAATGAAACTATTGCCGAAAAGCAAACTTCTCAACAAACTCATTCATGTGTCGATTGTTTGGTAAGTTATATCGACTTCTGTATCTACGCAGAAAAGGTACACCCAATACATTCAATTTAAGCGGTTCAACCTGTCAATATACTCCATCTTTCCTTCGAAGTAACTGGATAAGTGTTAAACGGGTTCCACTGAGAGATAATAGAAATGAAGTGTAACTGATTGATGATATTTTTACTTGTCGATTTTGCAAGAATGTGAAAAATTCCAACTTGCATATTCATAAAAGTAATAGATGTGCCAAAATTCAGGACGAAGGCAATAGTATAAATCCTAAACTGAAAAGACAAGTAACCCGAGCAAAATTGGTTCATCGAAGAACATTGGCTCTCTACGATAAGCATTTAAATGCTTTTTATGGATGTATGGAATCACACTTGTTTGACCGCGCCCTCATTATAAATCTTGTTGAAAGGTTTTCATTTGAAAAATCGATACTCTTAACCGTGAAATAAAGTGAAAAATTTTGTTGATTCCATTACAATGGTTGTTTTCTCTGGCGTGATGAATTCGGTACTGATTTTGTGATGACTTGCCTAAGCAACACCTTATTTCGAATTATGTTTAAGGAAAGCGTTTTAATAAGGGAGAGAAAAAATGGTGGTATTTTTCCACCAGAAGCATTTTTACAGGAAAATTTTTAGAAATGAGGTGAATGGTTTACCGTACGAGAATATCAGTTGCGATTATGTACCTCGTGTTGCTTATATTTATCCAGAAAGAAGCAGTAAGTGTTCTAGAATTCCGTCTACAAATTTCTTTTTTCTGCTTATTCTTTATTTGTCCTCAGTTTAATGTGGAAAGTATGCTGTACTCACTATGGAGAGAATATTCGGGAGACATTGGAACTGCTTGAGTTAGTATGAGCTTGTTCTTTGAATTCAAATTTCAGATCAACATTTAGATAAAGGCCACAGTTCACATACCGACTGCCCAGATTTGTTTATCCCAGATTTTACGCGAGCCAAAGCCTTCATCGAAAGCGATCGTTGGCCGGGCAACGAAGAATTTACATTGACTCTTACTGATGAATCAGGGAAAAGGTTGGCGTTTACTGTAAACGTTCTTTGAGGGATTTTTTTGCTTTCGGAACATTCAATCCTTATTTTTAGACAGTATACTGCATATTTTTTTCTTTTTGAAGACCTTTATTATCAATGTTTATCGTATGTATAGACATACTTGCAAATGAAGAATACCAACAACCATAACTTAGTTTGACTCATTGTTTTCAAACTTTTAAAATATTCGTCCTTTCTGTTTTCGTGCCTCTTTGCTCCTATATTTGTTCCAGTTTGATTGCATCTCAAAGATGCTATGATTCCTGATCGGTATAATTCACTATTTTATTACTTCAGCTGTTGTGTATTATTCATTTGTCACTCTTAAATTATTTAAATTTGTGGAACTTTTTGCACGCAATGAAGCCATCTGTGTCGTCCATCTTCTATTTAATAGAATTATGATATTTATTTGTTATGTATGCGCGATGTTCTTTAATTTCTCTTGTGAAGGTTCTCTTTTGTCTTCTTACTTTTTCGAAATTTGAAACACTTTTTGAAATTTCTGGGTAATTTTCATTCAGTCACAGCAAGCGTGTTCGATTGTGTTTTCTTTTAGGAAGTACTCCACGTATGATGTACGATTCGAGGATATTCCAGATTTCTATAATTTTATAGATAAAAACTTTGTGTTCTGGAAGAGCTTGATGAAACAGTAATGAATATCAAAAAACGCGAATTGTAATAGGAAAATTTTGTTTAGTTTTGAAACATTTCAGTTCTAACTTGGTTTTATGCGCCTTTTTGGATTTTAAATGGTTGTGATTCAGAGAAACAGAGAAACGGGAACGGGGAGAAAGAGTAGGATTGTAAAAGGTGGAAATAGAAAAAGAAGGAGAAAAGAAAGGCGAGAGATGTCTGATTGGGTTGGAACTGCCATTTAATTAAGATGACGGCTGTCCCTGAAGCTTCAATCAACAATCTTTCAGTTCCAACAAGGCAGCAGTTTCTCATTTGTTTGTAAAATTT